AGGCCCCTCCCTTTTTTGTGGGGGGCCCTTGAGTGTCACAGGAGGGTGGTTCCTTTGGGCCTTTCTCCCCCCTCTCCCGTTTCACTGCCGGTTCAGGCTACCCCTCAAAATTTTCCCCCCGAAGAAAGGGACTCCGACTTGTTTGAGTGTGTGTCATGCAGCCTGAAGTCCATTGTTCTTCAACACAGTCCCCAAATTTTCAAGGGGGACTCACTCTCTGTGGGGGAGTGGATGGCGAGGGCCCCTCTGGTGTGAGCTGGTTTTTTCGGGGCCTCCGTGGGTGGGGGAGAGGCCCTCTCTGGACCTTCTGGGACAGCCTTCCTATCCTTGGGCTTGTGGGGCACCCTGGACTTGGAGGTTTCAGGAGCAAAGCTGACAGGTGACCTGAGACCACACACTCCCGATGGGGCTGTGCTCCGTGCCTACCTGGGGAAGCTGGGCCCGACCCCATAGGGGTTCCCCCCGGGGGAAAGGAGGCAGCAGCAGGCTTTGTTCAGAGCCGCCGTTCACCCCCGGTTGGTTCAGTGTCTCCCTGGCACATTCAGGGAGGCCTGCACTGCACCTGGCCCTGGGCAGAGAGCTGGGCGCTGAGCCGGGGGTCAGACAGGCCCTGCCGGGGGGAGCTCCTAGTCCCATGGGGAAGATGGGTACAGTGACAGCACCTCAGGAGCCATGATAGTGGGGCACCCGAGAAGGCTTTACGTCTGCTCAGAGGAGGGTGGGGAGTGGGAGGCTTCCTGGAGGAGGTGACACCAGAATTGAGCCTTAAAGGCTCGGGGGTGAGGGAAAAGGGGGGTGGGTGTGACGGCCAGAGGGACAGCTTCCTGGGCAGGGGGGGGGGCGGGTCACAGAGGCCCTGACGCAGGCAGACCCTCCTGCAGGGGGACATGACCCACTGGGGTGGCTAGAGAAGCCTGGGATCCCAGAGGGAGGCTGAGGGATGCCCTGGCTGCTCCTCCGGGTGGAGTTCGGGGCCGATTCTGGGTCGGTAACTCCTGAGTGGCCCAGAGCAGGCCCCTCCACGCCTGAGCTCACAATGAAATGGGGAGCAGGGCCAGTCCAGGCAGAGCCTGGGGGGCTGTGCGGGAACTTACCCCCTCAACCCTGGCCACGCAGGGCCACCGGCTCGCTCCGCAGATGAGGAGCCGGCACCCCGGAGAGGTGAGGTGCCCTCCATGCCCGTGAGGAGTCCTCAGACCCAGATCCCCAGGGCTCCCTCTGCTGGTCTTGCTGAGCCTCCCATTTTACAGATGGGGAAATGGAGGCCCAGGGGCAGGCTGGGTAGAAGGCTGACAGGTGTGAGCTCCAGAGGGCAGGATCTGAACTCCTCACAGGCTGGTACGGAGCAGGTCCCCAGGAAGCGTGAACGAGTGGGGCCTGTTCTTACCTGGGAATTTTCCCAGAGTCCTCTCGGCCTGGAAGCTCTCACCTCATGGCCCCAGAACCCCAGCTCCCCAGCCGTGCTGTCGGGGAGAGGCGGGAAGGGTGAATCAGGGACGGGTTCAGCCTGCAGGAACTCCTGGTGGGCAGCCTGGAAGAGGATGAAAAGCAACCACCCCGCCCCTCACTGGCAGGGCCTGAGCCCACGCAAAGGCTTAGTAAATGCCTGGGAGGGGCCCACCCTCTGGAAACCAGAGCAGGAGGGGCCCCTGGAGCTGAGCCCTGGGACTAGAGGTGGCAAGAATTCCTAGCGCCACTGGGCCTCTTCCCCCACCACCCCCACCCCATCCAAGCCCAGATAGGGCCCCACCAGCAAAAGCTTCTTAGGGATGCTCCTCTGCTCTTGTCTGGATGCCCAGCTGGGGCCAAAGGCAAGGTCAGAGAGAGCAGACATGGGCCTCAGGGCCCAGAAGGCCTGGGAGGGGCCTCAGTGCTGAGTCCCTGGTGGGAGGGCAGAGAGGCCAGAGCTGGGGTCCGAGGGGAGCGGGTGTGGAGCAGGTCCCCGTGGAGCCTGGGGAGCTGCCTGGGCCACGGCCGCCTGCGGCCCTGACATCCTCTGGGAGCAAGGCCTCAGCGCTCTTTTCCTGTCCCTGCCTGTGCTGTGCCCCTCCGTCTCTCCGGGCCCTCCACCTCCTTCCTCGTCTCCCTCTGCTGCCCCGTCACTGCGTCTCTGCGTCTCCCGTGGCCTCTGTCCCCATCCTCTCTGAGCCTCTCTCTCTCTCTCTCTCTCTCTCTCTCTCTCTCTCTCTCTCTCTCTCTGTTGGTGTCTCTCCTTGTTCTTGCTCTCTGTGCACCTGCTGTCCCTGGTTGTCTGCCCCCCGCTCGGTCCTTCCCCTGTTCTGTCCCGTATCTGCCCCTCCTCCTGTCTCCCTTTCTGCTCTTGCTCTGCCTCCTCACTCATCTCCATCTCTGTGTCCCTGTCTGTCTCCATCTCTGTGTCCCTCTCGCCCCACCCTCACTTCTGCCTCTCCCCACCCTCTGTCCCCTCCGTCCCTGTCCTCTCCTCCCGTTGGTCACAGGTGGGCTCCTTCTTCATGATCAACCTGTGCCTCGTTGTCATAGCGACCCAGTTCTCGGAGACCAAGCAGCGGGAGCACCGGCTGATGCTGGAGCAGCGGCAGCGCTACCTGTCCTCCAGCACGGTGGCCAGCTACGCCGAGCCGGGCGACTGCTACGAGGAGATCTTCCAGTACGTCTGCCACATCCTGCGCAAGGCCAAGCGCCGCGCCCTGGGCTTCTACCAGGCCCTGCAGAGCCGGCGCCAGGCCCTGGGCCCGGGGGGCCCCGCCTCCGCCAAGCCCGCGCCCCGCGCCAAGGAGCCCAGGCACTTCAGTAAGTGGTCCTGCCTCCCGTGGCCTCGGTGCCCCGCGTGGGCCTCCATCGGGGACTCCCCACGGCACAGTTCGCAAGCGCGTCTCCCTGTCTCCCCAGCACAAGCAGAGCCGGCCAGTCCAGCAGGTTGAGATCCCAGATCTCCCCTGGGGGGTCCAGCCCGACCCCTCGTGCCCTCCCCCTCTTTCCTGACCACCTGCCAGTGCCTGGCCTGGGCTGGCCCTGGGCTCAGGGGACGGAGCCCCGGCCCTGGAGGAATTCCCTCCCCAGTCTGGTTCGCACGTGGACTCAGGCTCCGCCCCTGGGATCCACACTAGAGAGACAGGAGTGATTTTCTGTAAAACCCGCCCACTGCAGTCACCCCTGCATGGGCTCCTGCTGCCACCCCATGCTTGCGAGCACACTTGAGCAGTGACGCCTGGCCACCAGGGACAAAGGGGCCGGGCCACCTGCAAGGGCCTGGCCCGTGGGGACACCGGCCGCTCCGCGATCTGCCTGAGGCCCATTTCTTCGCTTACCTGACTGTCACAGACCTGAGAGCGGGCAGAGTGAGCAGTATTGTCCCCAGAGAGGGTGAAGGGACCACTTTCGGCCGCACAGTATGTCAGTGCCCAAAGCTCAGTGTCCGGGATGTCAGAGTTTGGGCTCAGTGGAGAAATGAGCCCCGGGAGGAGGCAAATGTGCCCCAGCAGGTGGGCCCCACCCCAGGCCCAGGCCCGCCCCGGTTGGTGCCAAGATGGAAGTCAGCAGGTGTCAGGACTGCGCCCGGAGCAGGCGCAGGTGTGTGACCTGGGACAGCCCTGGCCCCTCTGTGGGCCTCAGTATCCCCCTGAAAAGTGAGGGTGAGACCCTGTGCACTGGGGTCCCACGTTCCGGGCACCTGCGATTCTTAGGAGGCAGGCGGAGAACTCATGCTCGGAGCCACCGGCCGGGGCACCACATGTCCAGGTGTGGTCTTGTGGCATGGGGGGTGGGGGGGGAGGAGCTCCAGGTGGCCGTGGGCGGGCCCAGCACTCGGATGAGGAGTAGCTGGGTTCTGGGCAAGGCTGGCACCAGCATTCTTGGGTGACATGGGGCAGGGTGTTTACTGCAAGGGGATTCCTGCTCCTGCCCACGCCCCTTTCCAGGGAACCTGCGCAGAGGGAAGTCCCAGGGGACTCCTGGAGAGAGGTGCCCTTGCCCTGGGCCTCGGTGCCTGCCCCTCCCCCGTGGGACACAAGTGTCAGGGAGCCCAGCCCAGAGTCCATGTGGGGAAGGGGAGTTGGGGGAGGGGGGAGGCTTTGCCCTGTCCGCCAGCTGAGGTGGTACCAACCCCTTGGCTTCTGACACCTGGCCCGGCTCCCGGGCACGACTCCTGTCCAGGGCGTTGGGAGATATTCGGAGGCAAGTGTGGAAGTGAAAGTCGGCGTTACATGTTTTTCTTTCCTTTACACAAGCAAAACGTGTTCATTCTAGGGAAATACAGACAAACATGAAGAAGAAACCGAACCACCCAGGGAGAGCCTCTCCGGCTCCTCTTAGAGAGGCTTTACAGATCACATGACTCAGGTCCCGGCCCCTCCCTGGGCAGCTCTGACCCTCATCCCGCGGCCCAGTGGCCTGTCCTGCCTCCTTCCCCGGAGCCAGCCTGACTCTTGGCTTGTGTGGAGGGAGGTCCTGGGGCCTGAGGGCTTGCCCCCTGCCCAGGGCTCCTGCCACCTTCCCTCCCTGGGACACAGGCCCCGTGTGCAGACAGGAAGCCTGAGGAACGCCAAGGCCACCTACCCCCAGCCCCTGCCTGGCTGTTTGAGAAGCCCTTCAGCCATTTCCCAAGCCACAATGTCAGCAACCAGGGTGGCGGGGAGGGTCTGGGGCCTGGGGAGGGTCTGCTCAGTGCACAGCCGCAGGCCAGGAAGTGATGCCGCAAGGACAGTTAACATGTATGTGTGCCCCAGGCACTGTTCTAGGCACATCACGCAAACTAGCCGATAGAGAACCCGCAGCCCCGCGGGGTGGGTGCTCCCAGCTTATGCTTTTGCACAGGGACCAGCACAGCCCAGAAGGCGAAACCATTTCCTTAGGAACCGCAGGCCACCTGGCCTCCTGCCTGGGGCTGGCACACTGCAGGCAGACCCCGTGGGCACAGGAGCCTGGAGCACTCGCGGTTATGTCCCGGGGTCAGGCGGGGCCTGGTGTGCAGGTGCTGCCGCCTCTGAGAGCCCTGAGTGTGGCCTGAGGCACCGACCCTGCCCTCTGTTTGCTTTTCAGAGCTGTGCCCGGGACACAGCCCCCTGGACCCGACGCCCCCCATGCTGATGCAGCCCATCTCTGCCCTGCTGGCCTCCGACCCCACCGGCTGCCCCCGCTGCCAGCACAAAGGGGGCCACCGGCCCTCGGGCCTGGGCAGCACCGACTCGGGGCAGGAGGGCTCGGGCTCGGGGGGCTCCGGCGGTGGAGAGGATGAGGCCGATGGGGACGGGGCCCGGAGCAGCGAGGACGGGGCCTCTTCGGGGCTGGGGAAGGAGGACGAGGAGGAGCAGGCAGACGGGGCCGCCCGGCTCTGCGGGGACGTGTGGCGGGAGATGCGCGCCAAGCTGCGAGGCATCGTGGACAGCAAGTACTTCAACCGGGGCATCATGATGGCCATCCTGGTCAACACCGTCAGCATGGGCATCGAGCACCACGAGCAGGCCAGTGGGCGGGCGCCAGGGCCGGGCTGGGCACTGCGGGGGCGGGGGGCGGGCCACCCAGGCCAGCCCCACGCAGCTGGGTGTGTGGAACACCCACGCGTCTCTGTCTCCCCCTGACCAGGGCTGGGTCCCGTTCAGCCATGTGGCCTGAGTGCCCAGCCCAGGGCCCAGCCCAGGCAGGAGCTCAGGGTGTGAGTGGGTGAATGAGTGCCCGAGTGCAGCAGTTTTGGGGCTCATCTTCTTGGGGGGAGAAAGGGAGATCGGGTCCTCTCCTCTGCAGCTCAGCAGGGACGCCAAGGTGCCCACAGCACCCCCCCCCCTCTTAGTCCCTGCAAATCTGACTCCCATTCGCGGCTCCTCCATGTGAGCCCTCCTGTCACCCTCCCCGGGGCAGCTGGGGTGAGGTTTCCCGAGGCTGGGCTCTCCCCTGCCCACACCTTCTGCAGCGCCCCATCGCCCTTGGCACCGAGCACAGACCTTTCCCCTGACATTCACCTCTCCTCGTGCGCCGCCCACAACGTACGCTCAGCGAGCAGGGCGTCCTCCTGTCCCTGGTGCCCCACTCCCCAGCCTCCCCAGCCCACGGCACTGAGGGTGTCCTGTGGCTGCCCTGTGAAGGCTGTCACCCCTCTCCCTCCTCGGCCACAGGGTGTGTCCCAGGCCATCAGGGGTACAGCTGGGGTTCGGAGGGGAGAGGAGTTCAGAGGAGGGGTCCCCCAGGGGAATAGCACCTGGAAGAGAGATGGCTCCCAGGAGGTGGCAGGGACACGGGGAGCTTGAGGAAACTGTAGGGACACAGGATGGAGGGCTGTAGCCCAGATGTCCCCGGTCCACAGTGCCAGCCTGGGTGACCGCTCCAGCCCTGGCTCCATTTGGAAAAACATCTATTTCTGGCTCCCAGTGTCCCCCAGCCCATAAGTGACCCCAGCCCTGGGAGGGCATTTGGCAGCTGGGCCAGGGAGGGATGTCACTGGCCCCAGGTCCCCTGCCAGTCCCTGCCGGTTTAGAACTTGGATGCCGCCGTGGCTCCCCTGCCGCCCTCCCTCTGCAGAGGCCCCGCCCGCCCGCAGCGCCCCGCGGTGGGCCACACTCTCGTTTCCCTCTTCATTAGTTTGCCAAGCGCAGGCCCCATTCCATTTACTTCAATGCGGCCCCCGGGGCTGCCGTGACACTACGCAGAGCTGCTGGGTTGCCAGCCGATCTGGCTTAATTACAAAGGTCTCGGGAGGCCGGGGAAGGCTCTGCGGGGGAGAGCTGGGGAGAAGGCAGCCGACCCCTGGCCTGGGGTCCAGCCTTGTGGCCTTTGCCTGGCTCAGGCCTGCGGGAGGCCAGCATTTCTGGGGGAGGCCCCACAGGGAACAGGAGCTCTGGGTGCTGGTGCTAGTGGGGCGGCACCCAGGGGGCCTGTCACGGAGCCTGGGCACTGCCCCCCAGTGGCTTGCTGGAACCGGCTGGCAGGAGCAATCTTCTCATGCAGGAATTTTGCAAGGCCGTTGTTAGAAACAGCTGGGAGCTTGAAATTGGCCGTGGAGGAAGTGTTTACACCATGGGAGTTGGCGGATGCTACCGTCAGGGTTGTTCTTCAGAGGCCTGTTTGCCAGGATAATACTGGTCCCTGTCTTCTCAGTGGTCCCCTCCAGGGCAACACAGCAGCTGGGGCCGCTCTGTGCTCTGGGTTCAATCTCTCCCTCTACCTGTCGGGCTCCAGCCTCAGGCTGGGCCAGGGTCCCTGCCCAAACCTCCGCCTCCGCCATATCCTGCCTGAGCAAGCTTTCTAGCCTCGGATGTGGTGGAGCCTCTTCTTCCTGGCGCCCCGTGGGCCCCCCTCAGGCCGGGAGAAGCTGTTCTCACTGGCAAGTCACCTGCCCCTCCATAGGGTCTGCCTCGGTTTCTCCCCTTTCCCTCATAGGCATCAGCTCCCATTAACTGAGCACCTACTACGCGGCAGGCCCGGAGCCTGCGTGGTGCACTGAGTCCTCACAACCTCCTCTTAGAGTGGCTGGGAGGGTGAGTTGCGTTAGGAAGCCTGGCACATAGTAGGTGCTCGCGAATTGTTTCTGAATCTTTTCTTGGAGCCTTACACCACCACTTTCAGGGTGACTTTACCATCTGCTGCCTGGAACCTCAAAAATCAATGAAAGGAACAGTGAGGGGGAGGGAGAATTTTTAAAATGCTCTTTTTAAAGCAGCTCCGAGTGGCAGCCATTGTTCGGCAGAGCTCCGCGCGGGGGTATTTTTGCTCCCTCTTCCCCGACTCCCAGACACTGCTCAGTGGGAAGCGGCCCGCCCTGTGTTTATTTTGAGCTGCCCTGTCTGGGAGGCGCCTGCAGAGAGAGGTGGCCCAGGGCCGGAAGGAGCAGGGAGAGAAGGGGAGAAGGCAGGTGAGCACAGGCCCCCTCCTGCGGGGCTATGACCTTGAGGGGAGGCGTCCTAGGGGCCCCGCCTTACTGCGGCTGCCCACTCTGCTGGCAGGGACCTTGGTGTGGCCACCACGGAGGCAGGTGGTGAGGGGGCACAGAGCCCGGGCACTCCTGCCCTACTCCATCTGTAAAGTGGGGGGCTGCCGCCGCTCGGGTCACGGTACTCAAATGAGAGGTGAGATCACAGGTCCCCGTGGCCTTCAGGTGGCCACTGCTGCCCAAATGACAAGGGAGCATCCCCAGGTTCCTCGAGGCTGCAGAGTCCTCAGGAGGATGTTCCTTTCAGGGACCGGCCTGGGAGAGAGGTGAAGGCGTGTCAGCCGGGCAGGGGTCTCTTGTGGCCCACGAGGCGGTCAGATGGCCGACATCTACCCTTCCCTCCCCCTACCGTCCTGGGGGGAGGGTGGGCCCAGACTGTCCTTAACTGAGGCTGAGTGACAAGCATGTGGGTGAGGTCAGCTTGGGCACCGGAGCCGCCATCGTCACCTGCTGTCAGGATTGGTCACATCTCTTCCCGGGGTGACCCTCATGGCCGCCCTGGGCGGTAGGCAGAGTGGGCGTCTTATCCCCACTGGGCAGATGGGGAAACTGAGGCTCAGAGAGTGGGGATGGCTTGCCCAGGTGGCGGTGAGCAGCTGTCAGAGCTGGAGCTGGGGTTCTGAGGTTGAATTGGAGGTTCCACTAAGGGGACAGGAGGTGGGATGGGGAGACACCCACTTCTCCCCCTCCCGGAAGTCACCTGTCTAGGCCAGCGGCCCCTCCGGAGCTGGGCTCCACTGTCCTGTAGTTGGAGGATGGTCGCCAAGCTGGACAGCAGAACACAGAGGGTGGGGCTGAATGGGCAGCAGGACAGGCGTACAGGGAGCCTCCTGGGCAGGGGTGACCCAGGCGGGGGATGTCCCCTGGCCCCAGCTCCCTGGGGACTGCATTCGAGGCCTCCAGCTCACGGGTGGGTCAAAGCAGGCGCTATTCTCCCTTCAGCAGCCCCCAAGTCACTGCCGACCCAGGTCTGGGGTGACCCTGGGAAGATGAGGATGGGGTGGCTTAGGGCCCAACAGTCCAGCTCTGTGGTGGCTTGAGGGAGGGAGGCACCACCATGGGCTGCAGTCAGGGAAGGCTTCTCAGAGTCAGTGATACTGGAGATGGGTCCTGAAGGGTGACGGGTCCATCAGTGAGCAGAGGAGGGGCAGGAGCAGGGACCAGAGGCACAGGCTCCACCCGAAGGGCCCGGAGTCCTTAGTAGGATGTGCACACGGGGCGGGCAGCCAGCCCAGGAGGCCGGGAGCTGTCCACCCATGGAGGGCTTTGAGGCTGGCTTTATCCCTAGGGCGGTGGGGAACCGTGGAAGGTTTGTAAGCAGGGCGGTGACATGTCTGTGCTGAACTGGACCCTCCAGCCAGGAAAGTGGGGCAGGTGAAGGGGTGTGGGCCCTGGGAGGAGACCTGGGTTTGAGATCCGATGCCACCACTGGCCGGCCATGGCCCTGGGCCGTCACCTCTCCTCTCTGAGCCTCAGGTTTCCTGTCTGTAAAATGGGGACATAGGGTAATGCTTGAGGCTGAGATGAGGTAATTCATGGACAGTGCTTAGCACCGCTTGGCGTGTAGGAGACGTTAATACCAGCGTCCATTACTATCATGGGGAGGCCTGGGCCCCAGGGTTCCTGGGGGCAGTTTAGACCCCTGCCCAGCTGGTCCTTTATCTGCCTCTTCAGGAATGGCCAGAGGCGGGGCCGCCTGGTGCCTCCCACGCCTGGCACTGGCAGGGGTGAGCTGGCCCTGCCCCTGCCCCTCTCCTGCCCTCTACCCTCCTGCCTCTGGCTTAACCTGGCTTTTCTGCCCTTTGGCATCTCTTCTTCCACTGGGTGGGTCTGTGCCATCTCTGCTGCTTCTCCTCAGCCTGTCTGTCTGTCTGTCTGCCCTCCTGCTCTCTCGCTGACTCCCATGGTATCATGATCCTGGCCCATTATGTGTTGATCTGTGTTTTCTGTCTTGTCTCTCCACACCCTGCCTTTGCCTCTCACTCCCCATGCCTATGTTTGTCTGTCTGTCCGTCTCTCTCTGCCCATCTCTCTCATGGCTGCCCCCGTTTCTCTTCCCTCACCCCAATTGGTCTCACTGTGTCTACGTTCGTCTGTCGGTCTGTCTGTCTCTCCCGCTCACCGTCTCTCTCCCAGGGAAAGGCTTGCGGGAGTGATGGATGGTGCATTAGGAAAAGATTAACAGGTGTGCACTTGACTGGAGAAACAGCTGTTGCCAGGGAGTCGGGGAGCGAGCGGGTGACCTTTCCGGGAGCGGCGGCTCTGCCATCAATTGCGGGCGGAGCGCGCGTGCAGCGCGTGGGGCTCGGAGCGGGCGATGTGCAATTATGGGCTGTCAGCGTCCACATTTTTCATCTCCCGCATGTCGAGTGTCGTTTGGCCTGCGGGGAAATTGGTGGCTCCGAGCAGCATCTGGGCCCCGACTTAGCCCTGATGCCGGGCCCCAGCCCTCCCCACCGAGGGGCCCCCTCGCGGGGCCCCACTCCCCTTTCGGGACCATTTTGTGAGTCAGATGTAATTACAGCGGGAGCCGGGCTTTCTCCTTTCATCTGGGCTAGAGCGGAGCTGGCAGCTTTATTCTATTTCCCAGGCACCAGGCGGGAAGCGGACGGTTGGTTTTTCTTTTTTTCCTTCTCCTTTTAACCCAAGTGGAATTAGAGTCAGGCCTCTTAGGTGTCTAGTTGTCAGGTAGAGGGGCTGGGCTGGGGCGGGCGGTGCTGATGGCTGGCAGCCCTGCACCCTCCCGCCCTGACTCTGGCTGGTCCTTTGGCCCGGACGCCTTCTCTTGTCCCTCCACCCGCTCCTCTCAGCTCTGAGGCCTCAGCTGAGGTGTCCCTCCCTCCAGGAAGCTGCTCCTGATTCCAGGATCACCGCTCCCCAAACCACCCTCACCGCTCCTGCCTTTAGCCCCTGCTGGCTGGTGTGTTAGTTAACTTGCGTGTCAGGGCTTTGCCACCTGAACCCGCACTTCCCAGGGGCAGGAAGAACATCCCAACTCACTCCACGGGCCACCGGGGTAGCACACGCCAGCACCTGGGCGGCTCGCGGGCCTGTGGAATGCGTGCACTTGTGCAGGAGGGATGCGTGGAGGAGGGAGTGGAGGAGCCGGGTGGGGTCTGTGTGTCACAGGAGAGCCGCTGGGAGTCCGACTTGGTGCAGGGCCCGGCTCGGCCACAGCCTGGCTGGGTGATGCTGAGCAAGTCCCATCACTGCTCGGAGCCTCCGAGCCTCCTCTCCTCGCCTGTGGAACGGGCCTCCCAGGTTGCCCGCGGCATCCGTACTTGTGCTGGGTGTCCAGCCCGGCATGGGCGCGCGGTCAGGCCTGTCACATGGTCCTTCCCTGGCCTGTGGCTCGGGCGGGAGCAGCCTGGCTCCACGGTGAGCAGAAACGGGCCTTCTGAACCTGCTTCCTCGTCTGCAAAACACGCTGCCTTCCGCTGTTCGCTCTGACCAGCTTCTGAGCCTCAGTGTCTCCCTTTGTCAGTGGGTCTCGTACTGCCCCCCTCGATGTGCAGCTACAGCACCATTTCCAAACTCGTGGAAGGTCAGCCCCGAGGGGTCCCACCATCTCAGTGGACCCCGCAGGATCCGGGCGGCAGAACTGCAAGGTCTTCAAGGCCACGGTGTAACGGGAGATGGAGCACCAGCGCGGACACTGACCTTCCAGGACACGCGGACACTGACCAGGGCCAGGCCTTGCCACCTCCCGGGGGGCGGGGGAGTCCTAGAGCCAGTGGGCTTCCGTAGGGTCCCAGGGCTGCCTTCTGCCTGACGGTTCCGTCCCTGCCCCACGCCCACAGCCCGAGGAGCTGACCAACGTCCTGGAGATCTGCAACGTGGTCTTCACCAGCATGTTCGCCCTGGAGATGCTCCTGAAGCTGGCCGCCTTCGGGCTCTTCGATTACCTGCGCAACCCCTACAACATCTTCGACAGCATCATCGTCATCATCAGGTGCCCCGCCCGCCCGCTCCTCCCCAGGCCGGGGGCCCGGAGGCACAGGAGGGAAGAGGGGGTTGGCCCAGCCTGTAAATGAAGTGCCTACGATCAAAGGAACCCAATCACACTGCAGTACTGTTGACGAAAATGTTTAAAAATGTGTGATTTAGCCATTTCCGTGCTTCTGGGTTAAAGCATTGAATGGTGAGGTCTAGCAGCGGGTCTGTGACTACCATCATCCCAGAGGAGGGAGGAGCATGAACTCTGCTCGAAAATATCCGCATCAACCGTCGTGTGATGTAAAAACAGCGATTTCCATGAACCGCGAGGCCATGGGCGCTGCTAATTCTCTGTATTTTGTTGTTTCCATTTATACTCAAAAGAAAGTTAAATCTCAAAAAGAGCTCAGTGACCGTGTGGACCCCTGAATTCTGTCCCTAGACATCTTGGGGGGGGGGGTCCATGGAGTCCAGGTTAACAGCCCCCAACTTAGGGTGCCTGGAGCAGCAATGACCTTGAAATACTGTTGGTTGGATGAATGAATGAATGAATGAATGAATGAAACTCTCCATCTCTTCCTTTGCCCTGCTCTCCTCCTGCCTCTCTCCCCTCCCCACCCCTGCCTGACGCCTCCCTGTGCAGCATCTGGGAGATCGTGGGGCAGGCGGACGGCGGGCTGTCGGTGCTGCGGACCTTCCGGCTGCTGCGGGTGCTGAAGCTGGTGCGCTTCATGCCCGCGCTGCGGCGCCAGCTGGTGGTGCTCATGAAGACCATGGACAACGTGGCCACCTTCTGCATGCTGCTCATGCTCTTCATCTTCATCTTCAGGTGAGCCCTGCCACCCCGGGGCCCACCCCTGCCGGGGCCCAGGGAGGAGCATGGCCGGTTGAGTGCTCAGGCCACACCCTGGACCTGGGTGCGAATCCTGCCACCATCACTTAATCCCTGGTGGCTCTGGGCGTGTACTTCCCCTTTGGGTCTCAGTGTTCACTTCTGTAAAATGGGACCAGCGTGGCTCCCTCCCATCTTGCGGGGTTGTTTAGGGAATGGCACAGGCGGATGGGCAAGAGCTTGGTGTGTGTGAGGAGTCCCTTGAGCCACCTCCCTCCCCCCCAGCATTCTCGGGATGCACATCTTTGGCTGCAAATTCAGCCTCCGCACAGACACGGGAGATACAATCCCCGACAGGAAGAACTTCGACTCCCTGCTCTGGGCCATCGTCACGGTGTTCCAGGTGAGCACACGTCCGTATGTGCCCGGGGCCGCGGTTTCACCCAGGATCGCCAGCCTCGGGGAATCCAGAGAAGAGGGGCCTGACAGGGCGGCCCCTCAACTCCACCTTAGTGGGCCGGTTTTGGGGGGTGTGGCCAGGCAGGCTTAGGACAGGCTCTGGGAGCCGGGCTGCCGCCCAGTGCCCCTCCCTGCCCCCTCCGCCCGCACCCTGAGACTGTGGGCACGTTAAGAGTCTTCCCTAAGACCGTTCCTCCCCGGTAACGTGGACATGGCTGAATGAGTGTGCACACACAGCTCAGGGCAGAAGGAGCGGGGGGGTGGGGGTGGGCTTGTGCTGGGGGTGCAGGTGGGTCGCATGAGCGGGATGGAGGATGGGGTTGTGGGAGCAGCTAGGAGGGAGCACCGCTCAGCGGGGAGTGAATGTCGGGGCAGGAGTGTGCGGCACAGGCTTGCAGGTGTGGGCAAGCTGGGAGCACAGGTGAGCAGTGTGTGTGTGTGGGGGTGGGTGGGGGGCGGGCGGGGAGAGTCCGCGGCTCCGCCAGGTGGGCGCGCCCAGCGAGAGCTGTGGTACTCGAGGTCCCTGGGAGTGCCCGAGCGCCTGTGAGCGGAGGCTGCAGGAGGGCATGGGCTGCCATGTGCCTGTAGCTCCCCCCAGCGGGCTCCCCCTGCCCGTGGGTGGGCGGGGGCTGAGGATGTTCTTGTACTGAGCTGCGCGCTCCTCCCCGCACAGATCCTCACCCAGGAGGACTGGAACGTCGTCCTCTACAACGGCATGGCCTCCACCTCCCCCTGGGCCTCCCTCTACTTTGTTGCCCTCATGACCTTCGGCAACTACGTGCTCTTCAACCTGCTGGTGGCCATCCTGGTGGAGGGCTTCCAGGCGGAGGTGACTGGGACCCTGGTGGAGGCAGCACCCCCATGGGGCCTGCAGGAGACTGGGGGAGGGGAGGGGGTCTGGACGGGGGAGGGCTGCCATTCAAACATCTAGCAGGCGAGTCTCCAGAAGGGGGGGGGTCGCCAGTGAGGTAGTGAGCTCCCCGTCACAGGAAGCATGCAAACGGAGGCAGCATCGGGGTCCCTGCGTCTCCCCCGGGGGTAAGACTAGGCCTCTCCGTCTCTGAGATGCTAAAGTCTCCAAGACCGGGGCTCTGGATCCCGCCTCCTCCATCCTCTGAGGCTTTGGGGAACGTGTAGTCAGCAGACGTGGGTTTGTGGGCTAGGTCCTCACTAGCTTCTCACTTCCCTTCCCGGAGCCCCAATTTCCGCATTTGTAAAATGGGGGTGGGGTCGGGGGGACCCATGAAAAAGTTCACGAGGGAGGGAAGGGTAGAGCTGACATGCGTTCCAATGTGAGGGTCGGTCTCCCAGGGTGACGCCAATCGCTCCTACTCGGACGAGGACCAGAGTTTATCGAACACGGAGGAGTTTGACAAGCTGCAGGAGGGCCTGGACAGCCTCGGAGGTACACCTGGGGCCAGGACCCTTCCCCAGAGATCCGGGTGGGCCAAGGGCACGGCCCAGGTTCCCCTCAAACCCAGGCTCTGTGGCTGCTCATTTCTGTGGTTTGTTGTTTACATTCATAATGGAAAGAAATGCTAAATCTCAAAAAGTCCGTGGCCAGCCCTAGCCGGCTTAGCTCAGTGGATAGGGTGTCGGCCTACAGACTGAAGGGTCCTGGGTTCGATTCCAGACAAGGGCACATGCCCGGGTTTCGGGCTCGATACCCAGTGGGGTCATGCAGGAGGCAGCCAATGAGTGATTCTCATCATTGATGCCTCTCTCTCTCTCTCTCTCTCTCTCTCTCTCTCTCTCTCTCTCCCTTCCTCTCTGAAATCAATAAAAATATATTAAAAATAAAAAAAGTCAGTGGCCTGTTGAGAAGGGCTTTGGGCCTCAGGATGCCTGGGCTTTGGTCCTGTTTGGCACCAATGGGCAGCTTGGCGCAAACCTCCCCGTCCACGCCATGTCCTTGGTAACCGGCTGGGCGGTCTCTGCCTTGCTTTCCACGGCGGGCATGGCAGGGAGGTTCTCATGCCGGGTGAAGCTCAATGGTTGCCCTGAACACAGAAGGCAAGGGTGTCACTTACCCAAAAATAAGCTGAGAAAATTAAAATAAAAACAAACAAAAAACAAACAAACAAAAATAAGCTGAGAGCCCTGTAGGCGGGGCAGAGGGGAGGCACATGTGGTGGGCTCCAACCTGGAAGACTTCCTGGTGGAGGAGGTCTCCCCAGAAAAACTCTCCATTTCTGTTAATGGTCCATGTCTGTTTCTTTGTCTCATGGCTTCTTTTGCTCTTGTTCTGGCTTTCTGTCTGCCCTTCCCTCTGTTTCCATCTCACCCCTCCAGATCCCAAGCTTTACCCAATTCCTCTGACTCCCAATGGGCACCTGGACCTCAGTCTTCCCCTGTGTGGACATCTGGGCCCCGTTGGGACCGTGGCACCTGCCCGCCTGTCGCTGCAGCCGGACCCTATGCTGGTGGCCCTGGGCTCCCGCAAGAGCAGTGTCATGTCGCTGGGGAGGGTGAGCTATGACCAGCGCTCCCTGGTGAGTCCTGTGGGGGCTCTGATGGCTGCTCCCCGCTGGGTGTGCGGAGGGACCCTGGGGAGAAGCGCCTGCCAGTCCAGCTTCAAACTGGTACCAGGCCTCGGGCACCGAGTGTCCAGCCAGAACCAGGCAGGGATGATCTCTGTTGCATTTCTGGGTTCCCGGTGCCAGCGTGGGCCCAGACACCAAGGAATGAATGAATGAATGAATGAGTGGAGTGGGGCCAGTGGGTCTGGTGTGGAGAATGGGGTTTTTATCTTGGCGCCAATGTGTAGGGTAAAGAGCTGAGCTGGGGGGGGGGGGGCAGGCAGATCCCACCAGTAAGTCACAGCCCTCTCTGAGCCCCAGTTTCCTGACCTGTAAAGAGGAAAATGGCCCTAACTTGTGTACCTTCCTCCAAGGAAATGGGGTGGCAGGAGGAGATGAAGGCACACACACTGTGGACAAGCCCCCACGGCCATGGATGTGGGGGAGGGAGAGGCTGGGTGGGGAGAGGGCCTCTGGAGTCCAGCTGGTTCTGCCACCCCCTGGCCAGGCCAGTGGCGCCTTTAGGGCCTCAGTCACAACCGTGGGGCTGACCAGCGCCCCGGCTTCTCCCAGTCCAGCTCCAGGAGCTCCTACTGTGGGCCGTGGGGCCGCAGCGGGGCCTGGGCCAGCCGCCGCTCCAGCTGGAACAGCCTCAAGCACAAGCCGCTGTCGGCGGAGCACGAGTCCCTGCTGTCGGCGGAGCGCGGCGGGGCCCGGGCCTGCGAGGGCGCCCGGGACGAAGGGCCGCCGCGGGCCGTGCCCCTGCACACCCCGCACGTCTACCACGCGCATCACGGGCCCCACTCGACCCACCGCCACCACTACCACCACCACCACCGCCGGACACTGTCCCTGGACACCCGAGACGCGGTGGACCTGGCCGAGCTGGGACCCCCTGTGGGCACCCACCCCCGGGCGGCCTGGCGGGCAGCGGGCCCAGGCCCCGGGCACGAGGACTGCAATGGTAGGATGCCCCACATCGCCAAGGAGGTCTTCACGCAGATGGGTGACCGCCGGGACCACGGGGAGGATGAGGAGGAGGTGGACTACGTGAGTTGGCGAGTTGGCAGGGCTGAGGGGCCAGGGCCAGGGCCAGGGGGCAGGGCTCAGGCGGGTGAGCGGGAGGTGGCTGGAGCTGCCCACAGCTGAGGTGGGCCCACCCCTGGGAGAGAAGCCCTGGGAGGGGTGTGGGTTCTGATCTTGCTGGGAGAGTTCAGAGGTCACCCGGGGACCCCAGCTTGCTGTATGGCTGGAGAGGGCAGAGACGGGCAGCTCTGGGCAGCGCTGACCAGTCCGCACCCCCTCCTCTCCTTGCCAGACTCTGTGTTTCCGGGTGCGCAAGATGATCGACGCATACAAACCCGACTGTGCGAGATCCGCGAGGACTGGTCTGTCTACCTCTTCTCCCCTGAGAACAGGTGGGCCGGGCCCGGCTCGGGGGGGAGGTTTGGATAGGGGGTGAGCAGGTCTGGGAGGGAGAGATTTCTATAGAGCAGGTCGGGCCATGGAGGCTGGTGCCCTCCTGTGTAGAGGGGCTCAGGGCAGGGGGAGTGTTTGAATGGGGACTTTCGTCTAGGCCCGTGGTCGGCAAACTGTGGCTCGAGAGCCACATGCGGCTCTTTGGCCCCTTGAGTGTGGCTCTTCCTAAGCCTTAGGAGTACCCTAATTAAGTTAATAACAATGTACCTACCTATATAGTTTAAGTTTAAAAAATTTGGCTCTCAAAAGAAATTTCAATCGTCGTACTGTTGATATTTGGCTCCGTTGACTAATGAGTTTGCCGACCACGGGTCTAGGCCATCCCTGTGCTGGCACCAGGGTGGACAGATGCTCAAGTAGCCAGGCACTCCCATGGGAGGGGGCATTCTGGCTTCCTGCGGGAGGAGGCCTTGTGGCATCTGTAGGTGGAGCAGGGCTGTGTAGAGGCGGAGGCTGGACCAGGTGGAGGGAGCAGCCCGAGGGAGGGTCTGAGGCAGAAGCTCGGGGTATCAGGCCAGGTGTGTCCGTGTGGCGGAGGGCAGGGCGCTGGGGTTTGGGCGAGTGTTTGGAAGGCCTCGCGTGCCAGCGCAAGGAGGGTGCCCTTCATGCTGAGGCTGTGGGAGTTGCCGTGGGTGTGTGGACGGGAGGCGGCTCCAGGTGGGCACCCTGAGCGGATGTAAATGGCTGTGGACGGAGAAAAGAAGGGTCCGCTTCCTGTAGGCCATCCCCAGGCCTAAGCCCTTTGGCTTCCTCCCGCCGGGGTGAGGGGCAAACCGAGACTCATGGCCCCTGCCCACTCTGCTCAGGTTCCGGGTCCTGTGCCAGACCATCATTGCCCACAAGCTCTTCGACTACGTCGTCCTGGCCTTCATCTTCCTCAACTGCATCACCATCGCCCTGGAGCGGCCCCAGATTGAGGCCGGCAGCACCGTGAGTGGCTGGGGCCGTCGGGCAGGGCCGGGGCCAGGCAGGGCCGGGCCATGGGGCCTGCTGTGGGGTCGGGTGCAGGGCCGGGGGCTCGGAGCTCAGAAGGTGGATGTCGATGCTGCGGAGGAAGGTGTGGCGGGGAGCTTGTCTCTGGGGAGGGGCACCTCCTTGGACTGTGAAGGGGCCTCCCCTGGCTGCCCCTTGGCCAGAGGCAGAGGGGACCCGCAGTTCTGGGAGCCCCAGGCCCATGGTGTCTCCTGCTCTTTCAGGAACGCATATTCCTTACCGTGTCCAACTACATCTTCACCGCCATCTTCGTGGGCGAGATGACACTGAAGGTAGCCCCGCCTTCACCTGGGACCTCTCCCACCCCCAATGGCCTGCCCTCCCCCAGCTGTCACTCACCTGCTGGTCAGCAGCATTCCACAGGGGCCCCTGAGAACCACCCCTGCTTGGTACCAGCACTGGGCTAGTGTGATGGGGTGGGGTGGGGTGGGGGATCAGCCACATCCTGCTCTCCAGGAGGTCACAACCGGCCAGAAAGGCTAATGCAGGGAAGTGTTCACAGTGCAATGGGGGTACCCGCTGGAGGCGTGGGCCACTTCCCGGAGCGCGCGGCTTGGAACTGGGTTTGCAGATGTGAGGGGAGAGCGGACCAGGACAGGCTGTGGGGCTGCTTCATGCGCCCAGACCTTCCAGGTCCTGCCTGCCACCCACCTTCTGAGTGGGCCATGGGGCATGTGACTCCTGCGGCTCCACCCCACCTGCCTGACTCCCCCTCACCCCACCTCTGTGGCTGAGTCAGATGACCTGGCCCGTCACCCCGCCCCCAGGTGGTCTCGCTGGGCCTGTACTTCGGGGAGCAGGCGTACCTGCGCAGCAGCTGGAACGTGCTGGACGGCTTTCTGGTCTTCGTGTCCATCATCGACATCGTGGTTTCCCTGGCCTCGGCCGGTGGAGCCAAGATCTTGGGGGTCCTCCGGGTCCTGCGGCTCTTGCGCACCCTACGACCCTTGCGGTGAGGAGTCCTCCGTGTTGGGGGGCGGGCCTGGGGTCTACGTGGGCCACTCGCTCCTGCCCTCCTCACCCACCCAGTCCTCTGCTAGCACGTGCCCAGCACTAGCTGAGCAGGGCCAGACTCCAGGCTGAGGGTGTGTGTGTGTGTGTGTGTGTGTGTGTTTGTATATGTGTGTGTGTATGAGTGTGAGTGTGCGTATATGTGAGTGTGTATGAGTGTGTGTGTGTATGTGAGTGTGTATGTGTGAGTGTGTGTATGTGAGTGTGTATGAGTGTGTGTGTGTGTATGAGTGTGTGTGTGCGTGTGTATGTGAGTGTATGAGTGTGTGTGTACGTATGTGTGTGTGTATGAGTGTGTGTGTGTGTGCGCGCGCGTGTGTGTAGACACTCTCACACTGGGAGACGGGGATGGAGGTGGCCCCGCGCAGAGCCCTGCTGCGCCTACAGCTCTGGAGCCTGAGCCTGGGGCCACCGCCCTGGTGCCTCTGGGAGGACTGGGCTGCGTCCTGCCTGGCTGAGGCCCAACAGTGCCCTTGGCCCCTCCCTGCCTGCAGGGTCATCAGCCGGGCCCCGGGCCTGAAGCTGGTGGTAGAGACTCTCATCTCCTCCCTTAAGCCCATCGGCAACATTGTCCTCATCTGCTGTGCCTTCTTCGGCTCTAAGGTGGGAAGAAAGGCTCCTCACTCGCACTCAGCTCCTCCGACCCTGGAGGCTCAGGTGGCCCTGGTGGAGCAGGCACGTCCCTATCAGCAGCGAGTCCCCAGTCCAGGAGGGAGACAGACATGGCCAGAATGGTTGCGTGCAAGGCAGGCTGGGTAAATTGGATCCCAGGGGTCCAAGCTACAGCAACAAGGAGCTGGGCTGGGGACAATGGGGGAAGCACCCTGCAGGAGGTGCCCTTTGCACCGGGTCTTGAAGGAGAGGTGATTTGGACAGGTCAGGGCGGGCAGGTGGTTCAGGGGGGGATGGGCACATGTGGAGGTGAGCCGGAGCTCTGACTGGCATAGAGAGATGCGTGATGGTGGGCGGGGTCAGAGGGGGCAGGACTTGGGATGGCAGTTAAGGAGCGGGGGCTTGGCGTCTCCGGGACTGGGGCCACGGAAGGTCTGACACAGGCAGGGCCTTGAGGGGGCTCGGATTTTGGTGTGGAGCCCAGCCCAGGAGTAAGATGGGCCTCAGGGCTGGGGTGGGTTGGGTCATAAAGTGTGAGACGGGGATGGCCAGCGTGACCTGGGTCCTCTGGGGTCTGAGCGGCTACTGGGACCCTTCCTGTTTCTTGGGCGTCTGAGCCCCGAGGCCCCAAGGCTCCTCACCTGGTCCTGCATTTGGGCTGTAGCTGGTGAGGAGCCCCGGGCACAGGTATCCTTTGGGGTTGCTGAGAGCCACAGTGGAGCCACTGGGCAGGAGGGGCTGCGAGTGGACAGTGGCCCTGACCCTTCCAGGCAGTTGACATGGAGGAGGCTTGGGTCCCTGGTGAGAGAGAGGGTCTCTCTCTCTCTCTCTCTCTCTCTCTCTCTCTCTCTCTGCCCTCCCCTGGGGATATGCAGGCATCTCCTCCTGTGGGGTCCCTGCCCCATCTCCAGCGCAGGTACTGGGGTCTGATCTCGGGTCTGTGCAAAGCCCAGGAATCAGACAAACCAGGGTGTGAACCTTGACTCTGCCACTTCCTAAACCTCAAGTGACTTTGAGAAAATTACCCGCCACCCCGGGCCTCAGCTTCCTCATCTGTGAGATGGGATGCCAGCAGTGCCACTTCCTGGGGGGGACGTGGGGCGATGGTGTGGTTGAGTGCTTGGCCCGGGCTGTGCACAGAGGAGGTGTCTGCTGAGGAGCAGTCCCTCTTCTGATTGGCACCCACCCCCATCCCCACCCCCGGGAGCGTTGCCAGGACGGTCGCTCACCCCGTGTCCCTCCCCACAGCTCTTCAAGGGCAAGTTTTACCATTGCCTCGGTGTGGACACCCGCAACATCACCAACCGTTCTGACTGCATGGCTGCCAACTACCGCTGGGTCCATCACAAGTACAACTTCGACAACCTGGGCCAGGTGAGCTCCGCCCACCTACCCCTTCCTCACCTACCACCCCAGTGCGGGGAGTGACAGTTCTTCAATGCCAGCAGCTTGGGATTATAGACCAGCCTCCAGGATTGCAGTGCCCTCCCAGGACTGACCCTGGGACTTCTCCTTCCCAAGCCTCAGTTTCCTCTTCTGTGAAATGGGTAGGAGTAGCACCACCTCGACAGGATTCGAGGATGAGAGATTCTGAGTGCGTGTCCCCAGGTGCCTGGCGCTTCATAGGCGCTTCAGCGGACACTGGTTCCTGGCTCCCACCCCCACCCATGGGACGCAGACAGAGTTTGAAAGTCAGCCAGGCGTGGGTGTGAATCCCGGCTCTGCCACTTATGTAGGGGTGGCCTCTCTGAGCCTCAGTTTCCTTGTCTGTAAAATGGGAATGTTACAGCCCACCAGGCAGGCTGTGGAGAGATGAAAGTGCACCCAGCGCCTGGCCCAGGGTGAGTTTCCTCGCCCTTCTACTCTGCTCTCTCCGCTCACAGGCAGGCCCCTGCCCACTTCCGGCCTCGCCGTTATCTCCTCTCCTGGGGGCCTGCCAGGCCTGGCCAGCTGAGAGCCTCCGGCGGCTGCCTACAAAGCCCCCCAACTGCTCCTATTTCTTGAAGGCCCACCCGGTGCTGGGTATGACCAGACGGGAGTGCCTTCCCCAGTCACACAGGGAAGGGGCAGGATCCAGGTCCAAGTGGCCCAGGGCCCATGCCCCGCCCCTCAGCTGGGATCCTCCAGTGGGTTCCCACTGGAGTCTCACCCCACATGACCAGAGATCCACTCCCCATGCCCCCCGGGAGATGGGCCACACGGCCACAGAGGAGCAGTGAGTGGCCGGGGAAGGGGGTTAGGAACCGGGGCGCAGTCGCTCCCCCAACTCCTCCAGATTCCCCGGAAGCAGTGCCTTTTCAATTTATTATCAACTCCATGTTGGAAAAACAGATGTTTTTAAACAGATGTCCACTAAGCTGAGGGAAAGCCAGTGGGGGCTTTCAATGAGCTTGCTCCTGACCCCTGACCCCAGCACCAGGCCCAGCCGCAGCCTCCATGGGTCATCCACCCCTTCCATTCTGAGCATGCTCAATGCCAGGACGATGCCCCGGGCCCTGAGCGTGTGCTCTCAGCACGCAGAGCCAAAGGGGGTGAGTGGGGGGCCCAGAGCCTTGACCCCTTTCCAGGCTCGTTCCCAGCTGTGTGCCCTCAGGCAAGCCCCCGTGACGCTCTGTGCTCCGTGTCCTCCCCTGTAATGGGGACAGTGATCGCAGGTCTGTGATTCCGTCGCAGGCTCTCTGCACCTTAGGCCTCTGTGATCCAAGGGCTTCCAGGGACATTTGTCCCCTGGCCTGTGAGCTTCATGTGCCTCCCTGGCCAGGAAGGCTTCCTCTGTGTCCCCTGCCCGCCCGCCCCTGTGCCGGAACCCTTTCCGGGCAGCCCTTGGCATCACGCCCAGCTGGAAGGGCAGAGGACGGGTCTGCAGCCTGTATAGACAGGAAGGAGGGGCCAGTGCGGCAGGAGACCCATCCCAGAACCTCGTGTCCTGGCCCAGGGCCCTGGGCTACAACAGATGAACGTGTGGTGGAAGCACAGGGTGGAGCCGGAGCGGGGGGGCTCGTGGAGAGGAGTGTCCAGAGTAGGTGTGTGGCTGCCGGGACATCTCTGCTGGTCCGGACGTTTTGGTAGCTCATTACCTCTGCCCCTCCCCCCCCCCTGGTTTCT